ACTTTAATGTGTTTGTTCAGAATATTTAATGAATCATGAGAGACAGATGAAACATTTTAGGAAGAGACTGGCTGTTCTTTAACATTTTCCTGTATTTGTTCTATTGTTTTTGAAGGATACAGTCATTAAGAATCCACCAAAAAGGAACATAAATACAAAGTCTGCTGTCCGACCTCGGAAAGAGCCTTCTTCTAGCATTCGACAGTAACGATATCTTAAGTTCCAAGTTAAGAAAATGTCAATCATACTAATTGGAAGAAAGTAAAGTTTAATGTATTACTTAAGTACCTCTGGACTCCACATTATCTATAAGCATTCAGGCTTCATTTTTATAAGCATGTTTGAGTGATAAGGTAAATACTTTTAGTATTTATTTTTTAGGTATAGATGGACACAACACAATGCCTTTACTTTTATGTGGTGCTGCCTGTGCTAGGCGAGCACTCTACCACTGAGCCACAATCCCAGCCCAAAACTAGCACCATATTTTACTAAGAATGTCCCTAGCTGGGGAACCAATCCAGATGTTACAGAAATATGCTTCAGGTCACCTTTAAACATTTTGAAATTTATACTATTATCTTTCCCACACTCAGCCTAACCTTGATCCTCACCATTCTTACTTTTCCATGAAGAAATCCCCATAAAGAAAACTTATGTGATAAACTATTTTTCCAGGCCAGGCAGGTAAAGCATTTCTATATTTACATCAGTCAATAAAGATGCATTAAAATGAAAAGACTATCATCACTTTCCAGAATAAAGTATTACATAGGAGAAACAGGAATTCATCCTAGGACAAGAGTCCAGCCATCGCTACAAGTCCCTCTGTCCACTGCTGATGAACTGAATTACAATTCAGTGGCCCCAGATCATGGCTTTTAACAATCTGGAACATGACAAGCTCAACAGACATTATGGTACTATGCTTTTGGCCAGGAGAACCAGCAATCAAGACCCAAGATTTCAAGTTCTCCATTTCTCATGAACCCATGGCAAACTCTTGCTAATTAAATTATGACCATGTACAGGTTATGTATTACTTATACCTGATACCATTTTATAAGTATGCTTCTATTAAATGTTTTTCCCCCCCCTTGATTAGGTTTGTAAGCAACTTAAGTAATGATCTCTCATAATTAGACCTCCCATGTAAAGAGTGAGCTACAACTCCTTCAAAATGTTGCTGACCATCTATTCTATGTACAACTGACTCAGAATTCATAGATAAGAGTATCAGAAATAAATCTTAATTTACTCTATCCTAAGTAAACCTAAAGTTTTGATGCTGACTTCACTTAATAAAGGATACAGAAAAATCATGTTAAATAAAAAATTGAATCCAACTGGTCCAAAAAATAAGAAATTGGTGATTAACCTCCATATCTGTAGAGGAAAAAAAAAAAAGAGAGAAAGAAAGATTAGGAAATATTTTATGATTACAATGGTTGAAAAGCCATAAAGGGTGATATTACGGATCCCAAACTGGAAGACACAATCTGACAATGGATTTTTGTGCTGCTTCGACCATAAAGTCAGAAAAATACTGTATGTACCATAAAGTCAAAAAAAATACTGTATGGACTGAAAAATTTATAAAGCTAAAAAAGCAGAAAATTTGAACTGTGATTGTCCTTAAAACAACTCACAATGATCAGGCAAATTATGGAAAAAGTTTGAAGATAAGACTAGGTTGAGCCAGGCACAGTGGCATGTGCTTTTAATCCCAGCAACTTCAGAGACTGAGGCAGGAGGATCACAAGTTTGGGGAAATCCCAGGCAATTTACAGAGACCCTATCTCAAAATAAAATTTTAAAGAGGGGCAAGCCCATTGCAACCTATTTTTAAAATGGACATGTTTCTTTCTTTTTCTCTCTCTGCTCCTCCCTAATCTCAGGGGAAACGGGACTTTTCATTCCTATCCTAGGCAGATTTATCTCTTCTGAGTACACACCCACCATAGGAATGAAGTAATCCAGACTTTGGGGATGATACCAGAAGATCTCAGAAATGACTATCTCCCAAATTAACAGGTAAATTTCAACTCCAGACAGAGAACACATGGAATGTAGCATTTGAATCACTTCTTTAAAAGCCCCTATTCCGGCTGTTAGGCAGAATCACAGTCTTTGGGACAGAGTCCCCTGTGTTTCTCCTTTACTAACAAAGCAATAAACCTTCTTTTTCCTTTTTCTCAAAAATGAATAAATAAAAAGGGGCAGGGGATATAGTTTAGTGGTGGGAGCATGTCTCCCTGTCACCAAACCCCAGTACCACTAAAAATAAATAAATAAATAAAAATTTAAAAATAGGTTCATCCGCATAACAGAAGAGTGTGTTTACATATGTAATATAATCATCTCAGGTAACTTTTTTTTTTTTTTTTAATACCAGATATTGAACCTAGGGATCTCGCTAAATTGCTGAGGCAATCCTCCTGCCTCAAGAGTCCATACTCACTGGGATTATAGGCATGTGCCACTAYATTCAGTATAAACGAAACATTTGAGACAGAAAGAACACTATGTTTGGGGCAGAACTACTGGTTTTGGGTTTTTCCTCCTCACCAACGATAATCTGTATAATCATCCAGGAATAGAAAAATGCATCTCTCTCTCTCTGAATTTTGATTGCTGGAAAAGACTATCTTCCATTGCAATTTAATATATTGTTTAGTATACTGTTTTAGATACTGGTCTTTTACTGTTATGTTACTACAGTCTGATCCTGGAAGATTAATTATTTCAGTACTGGGAATTGAACTCAGGGGTACTCTACTATTGAGCTATATTCCCGACACTTTTTCATTCTTATTTTTTTTTTTAAACAAAGGTACACGCTTTTTTTTTWAAATATTTATTTATTYATTTAGTTCTCGGCGGACACAACATCTTTGTTGGTATGTGGTTCTGAGGATCGAACCCGGGCCGCACACATGCCAGGCAAGCGCGCTACCGCTTGAGCCACATCCTCAGCCCCTTTCATTCTTATTTTTGAGGCAGGCTCTGCACAATCAGGCTGGCCTCAAATGTGATCCTCCGAGTCATTGGGATCATATGTATGAACCACTGCACAGGGCAAGATGAACTAATTTAAAAGTGCTGTCAGAATTGAATTTATGAAAGCCAGAAGAATGAATCAGACATAAGTTTCCTATGTTTATATATGAATACATGACCAGTGAAACTTCACATCATGTACAACCACAAGAATGGGATCCTAATTAGAATGTTACACTCCATGTATGTATGTCAAAATACACTCTACTGGGCTAGGGCTGTGGCTTAGCGGTAGCATACTTGCCTGGCATGTGTGAGGCACTGGGTTCAATTCTCAGCACCACATACAAATAAATAAAGGCCTATCAACAACTTAAAATATATATATGAAAAAATACACTCTACTGGCATGTATATCTAAAAAAAAATTAAAAAAAAAAAGAATTGAACTTATGAACTGAACCATGATGATAACAAGAAGGTGGTGTGAACAGGTGGTGAAGGACAAAATAAGGCCATCCTGCAAAACCCTCTGGGCACCTTGCTAATCRGTCTCCATTTAAAACTACAATTAACTATAAGACAGTGATACCCAATACAGGAACTGAACACATGAAAACCATGCAAGGAACCTTAAAGATAAAATACAAAATGGTAATTCCTATCCCTGGTGATTCTGATTTAGTACAGAATTAAAAAGCTTCTACAGATAAAAAGCTTGTGACTCTCTTAAAAGTTCCCTAAGTGACTCTGAAGCCCAGCCAGCTTGCAGAATCATTGCTTTACACCTCAACAGTATGATTTACAATCTCAGGTCCCCAGTGGACTCTTTTCTGAGATGCCACATGGCAGAATTTGCTACTTAACAGCTCAAAACAGAAGCAACAGAAACATTAACTATGGTTTTGAAGGGCCACTTACTTGAAAGTGTTTAAAAATTAATTCAGGATTGAAGTACAGCTGAAAAGGTGTGATCAATTCCAGCTGCTGAAATAGAAAAAGAGCGTCTTAAAACAAATCAATCAAAAAAAAAATTCATCACTTACAACAAAGGATTAGTAAATAGGTCTAGCAAGTGCCAATTCTCAAATCTTTCTTAGGCCAGAGGAAGAAGCTGGTAAAGAATTGTCTACACCTGGCACAACTCTTTGTATCCTCAATAACACAACATTTTTAAAAAATGTGTTACAATGCTTGAGGATCACRTGAAGGCATAGGAGGCAGGCAGGTGATGGTATTTTTAGATTTAGTCTACGTAAGAGCAGCTATTACTAATTTGCCCATTACGTGAGCACCACCGAAACAGATGGGTGCAAAACACAACTTACTTGAAATAACCGAGATTGGAGACCCTGACATCATTAGGACTGGGGTGCTACCGCCAGCCCCTTTTATCTAGGACTATGATGTTTCCCTCTCCATAGTTTTCTATATTCAATACCTAAGTCTCTTCACTTAGCGGACCTTCCTTCCACAAATCACTACGTTACCACCTAAAAATTACTATAGCTTTCGGACACATTTTGGGTGGGCGGCTCCCGCAGCCCTTACCACCTATAGGTCCGGTTTCATCTCTCAGAGACTGATCTGATCCCTCATGGAGCAGCACTCCCTTCTCGGGCCATTGAATTAGCACTCTTGGAACCACCCCGAACCCAGGAGTGTGCCTTGTATGCCTCTACCCACCCCTGGGACCAGACCCTCTGGGCTTCCTCGAGGCCCAACCCCAGTTTCCTGAAGAACCAGTCATATCCAGCCCGGAAAAGGAGAAGGAGGCGCTGCAGCTGCTCACCACAGCGGCGGTGGTGAGGACGCAGGCGGTGGTGTAGGCGCGGCTAACCGGTGGGATTTGCAGATACTCCAGCCGGAGGCTCTGGTACGCCATCTTTCCCACCGCCGCCTGCCCACCCCCCAACTTCCCCTTCCGCCAGTATGCCCAAGCGGCAGGGCGGGCTCAGAGCGTCCCAGGCTTTAGCTTACCGCTACTGTCCAATCAGCGCCGCACAATCGGCCAGCCACCAATCACTAGAGCGTTAAGAATCGCTGACCCACCAATCAAGAGTTGCGTCTCCGCGTCGCCCCGGCCCACCTTCTCCTCCTACCAACGTAGGAAAGAAGAGAGAAAAGATCGATTCCTTCCGCCAATCCCCGCCAGCCACAGCTAGCTTTCCCTTCTGGCCCCTTTCCGTCACCAATCGAGGTGCCCACTCTGACCCGACAGTCAGCCAATCGGGAGGGCGATAGCATCCCGCCTTTGCTTTCGTTCGTGGAGGCACAAATCAGTCGGAATTTTGAAGTGCCAGCAGTGCCGCCCATCTTTGGCAGATCGCGGTGCCTTAAAGGAGATAGCGGGACCCTTGTGTGTGATCGACTTCATCACCTCCATGGTAGCTACGGTAAATGCTGCGGGGCCGCGTTTTCGCTGAGGAGAGGCGGGAACTAGGTTCCCCCACGTAGAGGGACTTGAGCGGCCTCTGGGTGAGCCGCGCCGCCCTGCTGCGGGCCCCGACCTGAAGGTCCCGGCATGCAGCGGGATCGCAGGGCCGGATGGGAGCCGGGAGCTGCCCGGAAGCTTCTCCAGCTCTGCCGCTTCTGGGTCCTGTCCAGTGTTCGCGAGCTCTTAAAAGCATCTAAGTTCGCTGAGATGGCCTGGGCGTCTCCCGCCCTGAATCTCTTCTTACCTTCAGGAACTCTAAGGCTAGCAGAGAAGATGAGACCGTAGGACTAGATTAGTCAGTTGCGAAGAGAGCAACTGATGGGAATTCAGAGGAGGGTGTGGTGGGTCATCAGGAAAGGGTGCTTGCAGTGGCCCTTAAAGGCTGTTTACCCAAGGCATGCCTACTGGAGGGCAAGAAAAAAGCTCGTTTTGGTCGGAGCAAAGACTAGCCTAATCATTGCAAGAGAGGTTAAGAGCATCATACTTTATTGGGTGGGCTAACAAAGTTAGAAAACGCTAAAGAATTCCGGAGCAATGAAGCAGGAGGATCCCAGATTCAAGGCCAGTCTCAGCAACTTAGCGAGACCCTGTCTCAAAAGAAAAACGACTGGGGATGTGGCTTAGTGGTTAAGCACCCCTGGCTTCAATCCCCGGTAYAAAAAAAAAAAAAGAATTTCGGAACAAGGAACGGAGCATCATCTAGTGTGGTAAGGAAGGAAAGAACCAAATAAAAGGTTGGCTAGCACTTTCACAGGTCCTCCCCTAGGCAGTGGGGCCAGGATTTGGTAGCTGGTGCTGAGAGAAAACCATTGGTTGCATTCTTGCCCTGGTACTGTAACAGTGGCAACTGTCACTCAATGGAACAGAGAAGAAAAACAAAACAAATAACAGGTTAGAGAAAGTGGTTCAACAACATCAACAACAACAAAAAGACCAGGTGCAGTGGCAGGAGTTTATAGTCCCAGCTGCTAGGGGGTTTGAGGCAGGAGGATCACATGAATCTCATGTTGGAGGTTAGCCTAGGCAACTTGTCTAGATCCCCTCACAAAACAAAAGCTACAATAAAAAGGGGGTATGAATGGGTAGTTAACAGAAAAAGAAATCTTCACAGCCTGTTGATTAAAACAATGGTTGTTTGTTACTTACTGTGAGACCACCACCTCAGTAGAGCATTGACAGTGACTCTTAGGGGAGAAGGATAAGATTGGAATTTTTTGAGATTCTAAGTTTGGTTTCAAGTATATTTCCCAATGTATGGGGCTTGATTACAGTGTGCTATGTGTCATAATACAACAATCCAAGAAAGATGGAAACTTGAGGTAAAGTTTAGAGAATGGTAGCATACAGATTGTTGATAGTTTCCACTAAGAGTGGACCATCTTTTAGGGAGTTTGTAAGGAACAACCAGACCATTTGAACAGTGGAAATATTCTAGTCTTCTAGAATATTAAAGTCATGCTAATGTGGACATGAGGTTGTGGGGGAGGGAACGTAGACAGTTTCAGTTCTCAGTGTTCAGTTAGTGTCTGAGGGTAGATGATTTTGGTTTTCTAAAAACAACTTGTGTGAAACAATTTTATATCTGCCAAGTTGGCAAAAGTTAGAGTGTTGAATACTGTTGAGTGTTGGCAAAGATATGAGGAAGAAATTGTCATCTAGCACAAGTGTGAGTGTAAATCAGCCCACGTGTTCTGGAAAACATTTTGGCAATATTTGGTGAAGTTATCTATGAGTAAACTCTTTGGCCTAGCAATGACTTGCCTTTGAAAAACCTGGCAAGTCCCCAAGGAGACATCATAGGAAGATGTTCATTTAATTTCTGGTAGCAAGATGCTAAGAACAGGCCAGGCATGGTGGTACACACCTGTAATCCCAGTGGCTGGGAGGCTGAGGTAGGAGGATCACAAGTTCAAAGCCAGCCTCAGCAAAAGCGGGGTGCTAAGCAACTCAGAGGCTATCTCTAAATAAAATACAAAATAGGGCTGGGGATGTGGCTCAGTGACTGACTACCCTTGAGTTCAATCCCTGGTACCCACCCCCCAAAAGAAAATGCTAGGAACAAATGAGGTGTTTGTCACAAGAAGAATGAATCTTTAAATGTGATAGAGTTGATGGAATACTTTAGTCAGAACAAATGAAGTAAACTTAAATAATAATATGAAGTTATCAAAAAAATAATAAATGTATATGTATAAAATATATATATAAAATATCTATCCACAGATAAATATGAATTTAAAAGACACATTAAAAACACTATAATTAGGTTCCTACTAAGGATGGGAGGTGAAAAGTAAAAGGATAAGTAATAGAGGACAAAAATAGAAGTTTTAACTCAAATTAGACAGTAGGGTACTTAAAAAAAAAGTGTGGTTAATAAGAGTCAGATGATGAAGGCCCTTATAAACCACATTGAGAGGGTTTGAGTTGATCCTGGAGGCATAGGGAAGTATTGAAAATAAAAATTCAGAGAATCCTCTACAAAATAGAAAAGAAAGCAATTTTATTATTGAATAACATCAAGATTACAATGTTTTGTAGACAATCTCTAAACAAAGAAATTCTACCTTGTTTAAACAATCACACAGTTACAATCACTCTATTTTAAACCAATATATACATAAAACTTCAAGATTAGTAGTATCTGTTTTCTATAAGAAGATTGGAGGGCTGGGGATGTGGCTCAAGCGGTAGCGCGCTCACCTGGCATGCGTGCGGCCCGGGTTCGATCCTCAGCACCACATACAAACAAAGATGTTGTGTCTGCCAAGAACTGAAAAATAAATATTAAAAAATTCTCTCTCTCACCTCTTTCTCTTTAAAAAAAAAAAAAGAAGAAGAAGATGGGACACATCATTTCCTGCATGTTGTCATGAAGTCCATCCTAAATTAACCTGGTAATTGAAATGTCAGTTATTATTGCCTATGTACCTTTATCTAAAGGAGTTAAGAAAAAAACTTCTCTTATTTCTATGACAAGCATATGGTTACAACTAGGACAAAGATGTCTAGATTGATCTCATTGTGACAGGGAGATATGTGATATTTTCCTAGATATTTACATTTGAAAAGAATGAAACCCCCTCCCCCAACACACACACCCTTGAAAAAACAAGTCAGTGTTATAAAGCCCCCTTGTTCATCTTCTGATAGGGATTTTTTTCAGATGGCTGGGGTGGAAGGCAAGAGATTGAGGCCACTGGCAATAGGGTATTTAAAGTAATAGAAGACCACGAGGCTTGAAAGGACTGGGGAAAGAACTGAAGAGACTGAGAGCAAGAAAGAAGGTTATTAGATTAAAGTACAATGAGAATATGTGAATGATAGTTGGAAGAATAATATAGGAGGTTGTGGTCAAAAAGTAGGAGTTGTTGGGGAGAGAAGTTAGCAAATATCAAGAACCAGGTGGCTGGGGCTGGGGATGTGGCTCAAGCGGTAGCGCACTCACCTGGAATGCGTGTGGCCCGGGTTCGATCCTCAGCACCACATACAAACAAAGATGTTGTGCCCGCCGATAACTAAAAAATAAATATTAAAATTCTAAAAAAAAAAAAAAAAAAAAAAGAACCAGGTGGCTGAAAGAATGGAGCTGTAGATATTGAAATTCATGTCTCTGGGGCAATCTCATAGGTCATCTATGTAAATTTTAAAATTGTCCAAGATGATAACAGAGCCAGAAGATTGATCTGTGTGCCAAAGACTTCAGCACATGAGAGGTGGAGACAAATGAATAATGAGGAGAAGGGAGAGGGGCAAGTCGGTTCTAGAATGAGGAAAGAGCCTCAGTGAAGCATGGTTTGTATCCTTTTATGGACAATCAAGGCTGGAAATAACAGCAGGTATCAAGGAACACAAACTTATTTTTTTCTTTGAGTCCTTGTTTGTGATGTGATCTATTACTTTCTTCATTTTTTTTATCCAAATGAATTTTTATTTTCTTTTTACATTTGCAGATTTTTCATAATTGAAAATAGCAAAGTAAACCAAGATGTCAGTGGATCCAATGACCTATGAGGCTCAGTTCTTTGGCTTCACACCAGAGACTTGCATGCTTAGGATCTACATTGCATTTCAAGATTACCTATTTGAAGTGATGCAGGCTGTTGAACAGGTTATTATGAAGAAGATGGAGGGAATCCCAGACTGTGATATTAGCCCAGTCCAGATTCGTAAATGCACAGAGAAGTTTCTTTGCTTCATGAAAGGACATTTTGATAAACTTTTTGGCAAAATGGAGCAGCTGCTTTTGCAGTTGATTTTGCGTATTCCCCCAAATATCTTGCTTCCTGAAGACAAATGTCAGGAGACGCATCCTTACAGTGAAGAAGAATTCCAGCTTCTCCAAAAAGAAATTGAAGAATTACAGGAAAAGTATAAGACTGAATTATGTACTAAGCAGGCCCTTCTTGCAGAATTAGAAGAGCAAAAAATTGTTCAAGCCAAACTCAAACAGACTTTGACTTTGTTTGATGAGCTTGAAAATGTTGGCAGACATCATGGGACTAGTGATTTTAAGAAGAGTTTGGTGTCCCTGGTCCAGAACTGTAGGAAACTCCAGAACATTAGAGACAATGTGGAAAAGGAAAGCAAAAGACTGAAAATATCTTAATTTCTTAGTAGCAAAAACAAAGAACCTGTAAAAAAGTAGTTTTCCTTTGTTCACTCTTTCTTATGTTCCCCATCTTTTTTGGTCCACTCTTCTCAAGTAGCTATACTGCCTTGAACTAGTCTTTGAAGCATCTGTTCATTAGAGTTTTCTAATAAGTGGAAAGAGATTCTTGATTCAATAATGGCTCATTTGGGGGCATGATTGAAGAAGTAAAACTACAGCTGAAAATATATAATTGTACCTTGGTTATAAGACTTTGTGATCCTGGCCCTTTTGGCTTATTCTTTGGATAATACCAGGTGAGAAAAGGGTTAAATGGGTGGCTTCTTTATTAACCAGCCATTATACTATGAAATAGCCAGCATAGGGTGCTGCTCTTGCCCAGTAACTTTGCTTTACATGAAGATGTTATAACTGGTTGAAGAAGCAAGCAGCAAAAAAAAAAAAAAAAAAAAAAGACATCTTTGATCTTTGGTAAATAAGAAAGTTGTTTTTATTTCTATAATAAATCTCTCCTTTTAAAAAATATTTTTAGTTATAAATGGACAATACCTTCATTTTATTTGTTATGTTTTATGTGGTGCTGAAGATTGAACCCAGTGCCTCACACGTGCTAGGCGAGCTCTCTATCAATGAACCACAACCCCAGCCCAAATAGACCTTTTTATAAATGAGGCCCTGGTGATGTTAAGCAATTTAGTACCTTGGGGTCCTGCAGAAGATAACATTGGACAAAAAAGAAGCAGATACCACTGGAATAGAAAAGGAAGCATGGGGTGGGGGGTCATGGCTCAGCTGTAGGGCACTCGCCTAGCACGTGTGAGGCCCTGGATTTGATCCTCAGCACACATAAAAATAAGTAAATAAAAATAAAGATATTTAAAAAAAAGAAAAGGAAGCATTGGGCATACACAATAATGAAGTTGGTATTTATTGACTCAGGTTTTATACCTTTTTTATAGTAAAATTAGTTTTAGACTCTGCCTTATAAATAATATTTAATTAACTTATTTATTCATAGTGAGGGTAATAAGCATCAAATGTTTAGTACCCTCAGATTATCTAAGGGAAGGGGAGAAATATTAATGATTGATTTTTTTTTTTTTTTTTTTTGCATGCAATGCTGAGAATCGAACCCAGCGCCTCACACATGCTTGGCAAGCACTCTACCACTGAACCACAACCCTAGACCTAATGACTGATCTTAATGTGTTATTTGCTTTTCATGTCTTCCTAAAGAACAGGATTTTGAGTTTTCCTGTAAAGAAGGAGTTACTTGGAGTATTAATATTTGCAACTAAATATTTATAGACTTAGGAAACTTGTGCTTATTATCAAAAAGTCTTTTGGGCTGGGGATGTGGCTCAAGCGGTAGCATGCTCGTCTGGCATGCATGCGGCCGGGTTTGATCCTCAGCACCACATAACAAACAAAGATGTTGTGTCCGCCGAAAACTAAGAAATAAATATTTAAACATTTTTTTTAATTTAATTCTTGTTTCTAATCCTGTGCATTAAATATATATGTTCTAAAAGCTTTGGATTTTGATTTTGTGTTGTCTATAATATCATGATCTATGTTTTTTTCKCAGTATGGCTTTTTACTCAAATGAAAACTTCCATTTCACATTTGAAGCTTATTCAAAATCACCTAGTGTAATAGGTTGAATGGTAATCCCTCAAAAGATATGACTATGTTCTAATTCCTGGAGCCTTTGAATGTAGCCTTATATACAAAAAGGGTCTTTGCAGATATAATTGATTTAAGGATTTGGAGATGATGAGATCATCTTGAAATATGAGCCCCAAATCCAATGAAAAGTGATAAGTTAGGCAGAGGGAGACCTTTAAAACAAGAGTAGAAGGCATAAATGCAGGTTGGAGTAATGCAGTCGTAAGTCGGGAATGCCAGCAGCTACCACAAGCTAGAAGAGACAAAGAACAGATTCTTCCTTAGAGCCTGCAGAAAGGATGTGGCTCTGCTAGGTCAACTTCATACATAGTGTCCCAAATATATTCCAASTACCTCCCTCAATTTAAATAATATCCCATAATATTCAGAAACCACTGCTTAATTCACTGTCTGCATATATCTGCTCTTTACAGACAACTCAATACATAATAGAACACTTTCCCCAATCAATAGGTTCTATATCATTGTGATCTGCTGCAAATCTGTTATTTTTACCTGCCTAACATCCATGGCACCTGAGTGTTCTTCAGGGAAGGAATTTCTTTCTTACTACTTGCCATTTTCATGGGATTGCCCTTTGAGGTGCCTTGTCTTTTTTTTGACCAAAAGGTATGTTACCTAGAATTTTTTTTTTTTTTTCCTGGTGCTGGATTTAAACCTAAACCTTGCACATGCTAGGCTATTGCCATACTACTGAGTTACACCCCTGAACCCCCTAGAATTTAACTCTTGAGCAAGAAAGCACAAGTACCAAAATATGGGCACAATCATGATGGAATTTTGAAAAGACTGACTATCCATTAATAGCAGAGAAAGGCTTGATATTTTGAATAAGGGGAAACTTTTTTTTTTTTTTTTTGGTTACAGGTGGACACAATGTTTTACTTTATGTGGTGCTGAGGATGGAACCCAGTGCCTCACTCATGCTAGGTGAGTACTCTACCTCTGAGTCACAACCCCAGCCCCCCCCCACCCACCCAATAAGGGAAACTCTTACTAGAAGCCCAGAAATTGAGGGACACTTGAGAAAATTCAATATAGAGAAGTCACCATGAAATAGAGGGGCAAAAGGTATGTAGGGGGCAATTAGGATATGTGACCAAATATCCTGGGATACTTAACTATAGAAGAGGAAAGTTGGCCATATTAGACATGATGATACTAAAGGCAAATGTGGATAGCATGAAAGTAATGGAAATTTAATATTGATTAGAAAATATAGCTGGGCACAGTGACACACATCTGTAATCCCAGTGACTTGGGAGGCTGAGGCAGGAGGATTGCAAGTTCAAGGCCAGCCTCAGCAATTTATCGAGGCCCTAAGTAATTTAATGAGATCCTGTCTCAAAAAGGGCTGGGGATGTACCTCAATGGTAAAGTGCCCCTGGGTTCAATCCCCAACACCCCCCTGCTCCAACAAATAGGTATACATATGAAAAAAGAGTGTGTGTATGGATGTGTGTGTGTGTATTTTTTTGAGTGAAAAAAGTAATGGGTGAATAGAAAAAAATATGAGGCTATGAGAAGAGTAATGGAATCTTGGTGCAGGGCGGGGATAGCAGTGAATGTTAAGAAACGTCAGAGTGCAGCATTAGACCAACTGGGGAGAAATGCAGTAGATTCTGAAATAAGGGGATTCAATGGGCCTGGATATTTAGGAGTATTAAAGTCACTATTAAAACATTGTAGAGGCAGAAGGATCTAACCATTGATTGATTGATTGATTGATTGATTTTGGTGCTGGGTATCAAACCCAGGGCCTTGTGCATGCAAGGCAAGCACTCTACCAACTGAGCTATATCCCCAGCCCCAGGATCTAATCATAGTATCAGCAAAGCAACCAGATATTTGAATATGGGATAGAAAATGGAGACCCAGATTTGGTAGCACAAGTTATTGTGGAACAATAACAAAGATTGAAGAACAGAGGACTTTGGTTTTGGGATGGGAAAGGAGTCTGTCATCAGGTGATTAGGTGACCAAAGGATATTGGGGGATCATATTCTGAAGTCATCAAAGGATTGTTAAATAAGAGATAATAGGGGATATGTGAATGAGAAACAATAGGAGCAAATGTTTGGAATACACTAGGCCATATCTTGAGATTCAGTGGGAATCAATATTAAGGGATAGTAGAAGATCCAATATACAAGTTTAAAAACTGGAAAAGAGGTGTATATTGAGGTACCTAAGAGCTGTGATTTGAAGAAATGGTGTCACCAATTGTTGGAGGAAATTATTTTAAACTGTGGCTATAAAGCACAGGCTGATGTTAGGGAAACAGCGGATGGCACACTTGTAGCATTTAAGTAAGATGTAGAAGGGCAAGATACCAAGGTACACAGTGATATGGGATTAGGGGAAATCAAAATTGGGAAATGACAAGGCTTTATTATTGGAAAACAGTTTATAAAAACCTAAGCTGGGGGCTGGGGATGTGGCTCAAGCGGTAGCGCGCTCGCCTGGCATGCGTGCGGCCGGGGTTCGATCCTCAGCACCACATACAAACAAAGATGTTGTGTCCGCCAATAACTAAAAGAAATAAATATTAAAAAAAAACTCTCTCCTCTCTCTCTCTTAAAAAAAAAAACCTAAGCTGGATGAAAGGGCAAATGCCGGAGCTTAATTGGGGGACTGACTGAACTGGGCAAGAAGTGTCTTGATATGGAAGCAAGTGGGGACTAAATCCTGAGGAGTAATAGACCTGCTGTTAGGAGACAGCAGGATTGGATCCTGGCATGTTGGAGCAGACTAGGAAGTCTGAAGGGGCCCATTGTACAGTTGGAAATTAATGGAGAACTAAATACAGAGGAGACTGAAAAAGATTTATTCCATCAGAGGTGCCACGATTACAGATATTTCGGTAAAGAATATGCAGTGTTATAGTGCTGTATTTGGACATTTGACATTCATGAGCAAACAAAGAAAGCAAGTGGGTTAATAACCTGCCACAGTGGGTTCTAGTATTAGAATTTTGGGTTGAAGATGACAAACCCTCCACAGGATTTCTTCAATGGACACATCCCCCAGCCCCTTCATCTTGGGTACCATAGTTTGGGAAGGGCTACTGAATAGAGTGAAGCTACCCCCAGAGTCCCCAAGTAGAGATCTCCCGTCAACCCCAGTTAGGGCCTCCAGTCTCATACAGTGGAAGATCTCCCGTGAACCGCAGCTAGGGCCTCCAGTCTCATACAGTGGACCCATCGAAATCGGCCTGCGTCCTGGGAAGTGTGCAGCTGCAGATCCCACGCAGTTCCGATACGTCCTGAGCGTGGCTTTCTGGAACGAGGGTCCTCTGGCTACAGGTCTTGGCTCCGCCTGGCAGCGACAACAAAGCCTGAGGCAGGAAAAGCGCACATTTCGGATCAGTCGGAACCCGGGAGGTGTGGCACCATACCTTGACAAATGCCCCTCACCTTGTCCAGGGTTCCAGCGGTGCCCTCTGCTCACCCAGGTCCGCCAGAGCTCTGAGTACTGACTGCGCCAGCTCTGAGGCACAGCTGGCTCCTTCTGGGGGTCATGCAGCATCACAGGGCTCTGGCCCAATCTGGGCCAGGGCGCCAATCCTTCCCATGGGACCCTCTCTGGAAGGCCGTGGGCCCAGATCTGGCTCATCCCTTGAAGAACAGAAGGTTGGGCTCACCAAGCACAAAATGCTGGGCTCGCTGTGCAAGCCCCCACATCACAAAGTGGTAGGTTACAGCGACTTTATCCTAACTATAAACGGGGTTCAATTGCACCCCAGCATTCTAAACATTAGGAGCGGTCTGTGCCCCCGCCCCCTGTCTGCGGGTGCTATTGCACCGTTATTTCTTTGCCAATGGCTACTTTGGACCTTCCTCCTCCTGATGGACAGTTAGACAAAGAGAACGACAACAGAGATGAAAAGAAACAAGCATCGAAAGCTAGATGAAGGGGGTGCAGCTAGTCTCCACAACAAATTGCTGCGCCCTTCTTTCCCTTTCCCTCCCCCCTCCCCTCTGCGCCCACCCCTTCCCGCCCTACCGACTTAGGCAAGCTGTAAATGGATATAGGTGAAGATGCAGGAGGTGATGGAGAAAGCGATAGCCGCGTAAATAAAGATGGAGAGGTGCGGGAAGTGATCGAGATAGCAGCCCTCGTCCAGTGGAGGCGCCTCTTCCTTGAACTGGGGACGAGCGGCGGCCTTGGGGGGCTGCCCGGAGCGGATCCCCTGCGCCTTCCCGCTCGCACGCCGACCAGACTTCTTGCCCGCAGCAGACGCCGACTTGGGCGCGCGGGCAGCTGGAAGATCTTCTGGGGGAGGCTTATCAAACAGGCCTTCGGACTCAGGGTCGGAGTCGGTGGGCATCTGTTCGGTGCCCCAGGGTTTGCGCTGAAAGAGACGGTCAGCCATTGGCACTGGGCGCGGGCAGGTGGGGGTCTGCTGGATTCAGGCGATCAAATCCAAACTTGACAGTCAAGTCCGAACCGGTCGAATGCAGTGGGCGGCGGCTGGAGCTGCAGCTGTATTTCTACTACCCAGAGTGGGGGTACAGGGGGCGGAGCCAGTGAGGTAAGGGGCCTCTGCAGGGTATGCTGGGCCTCTTAGCGGAGGCGCCACTTCCCTTGACTCCTCCTTCTGCCCCCTGCCTGTTGCAGAGGTTGGCTCTCCCTGTTCCAGCTCCCCGGCCAGTGGCCAGAGGCTAGCAAGTCTCCACAAAGCCAGGTTTTGTCTCCCTGGCAACCACACAGGCCACCAGGGTAGATGCAGGCACTGGAAGCTAGCTGGGAACCCCTGGCGGGAAAAGAGGGCTTGGCGCGCAGGAAGCTGGAATGCAGACCACCAGGCACCAGCTGCGTGCGGAGCTTCCCCAGGGTTTACTTCTCCTTCCTAAAACTATTGTTAGTATTAGTATTAGTATTAGTATTATTTACTAGGTACCAGGGGTTGAACCCAAGGGTGCTTACCACTGAGCAACATCCCCAGCCCTTTTTATTTTTTTATTTTGAGACAGGGTGTCACTAAGTTGTTAAGGCCTCCGTAAAGTTGCCAAGGCTGGCTTTGAACTTGCAATCCTCCTGCCTCAACCTCTGAAGGTGCTGGGATCATAGACGCGCGGCCACCGCCCAGCTAAAACAAATATTCATTGAAGAGTTGTTTTATTATTATTATTATTATTATTATTATTATTATTATTATTATTTTGATACATGAAATGGAAATCTTGTAGAAAACTTAAAATTTATAAGCAATATAAAAAACACTTAACAATTTCAAGGTCCTGCAATTGCACCGTTAAAGAGTTGATGCCTTTCCCTCCCTGTTTCTTTTTCTACCCATCCACATTTGTATCTATACATTGTGTTTTTGTTGTTGTTGTTGTTTTGTTTGTTTTGTTTTGGCTTTTGCACAAGAGGATGAACCCAGGACCTTGGGCATGCTGAGCATGATCCTCAACCCCTACATCCTGCTTTCTCTTTTTGCTATTGAACTACATATGGACTCCAGCGTTTGGGCATGAACCCAAATCCTTTCAAAGACCTCTTATCTGAGCCCATTTCTTTCCCACCTTCACCACCCTGCCCCACCCTCCCCTCTGCTAACTCAAGCCCCTCTCTGGCTTCCTCTAGTATTGCCACAGTCATTGGGCATTACCATCTCCTGACATCTCTGTTGCATCTGAGGTTCCAAGGCCGGGTTAGTGGAATGGAGAACTTGGTTTTATGTGGTCCCAGTGGGTCAGAGGGGTCCTTTTGCAGACCCTGGCAAATGCAACTCATGGGACTTTAACTGCCATCAGGGAACTTATTACCTCACCCGCTGGATCCTTCACCAGGACTCAGGTCCAGGATGCTGTTTTTCTCAGTCTTACAGTGTTGCCAAAGACTTCTCCCCCCACCCCTTTGGTACTGGGGATCGAACCCAATGATGCTTCTCCACTGAGCTACATCCCCAGTCTGTTTTTGATTTTCAGACAGGGTCTCTGTTAGGTGCAGGACAGGCTGAGTAAGTTGTCTGCAGGGTATGCCAAACAAAGTTAGCTGCAGGATGACCTGGCCACTCAAACCCTCTGTCTGGTTCTTTATTACCTGTTTGCTTCAAGCCCAAAGGCCCAAGCCCCTGCTCAAGGCTGAGCGCTTCGCCCCCCACCCCTTAAGGCTGAACACTCAACCCCCTTATGTGCCAACAAGGCAGCTTGCAGACCCAGAGACCCCATTAGATTTGGGCTATAAAAACTCCCTCCTGCAGGGCCCCTCTCTCTTGCTCTCTCTCTCTCTCTCTCTCTCTCTTGCTCTCTCTTTTTTTTTTTTTTTTTAAACCTAGCAACCTCGCTATGCAGAGGCAATGATAGATCTGTTCCAACTGTTATGTCTTTTTTTTTTTTTTTTTTTAGTTCTTGGCGGACACAACATCTTTGTTGGTATGTGGTGCTGAGGATCGAACCCCGGCCGCACGCATGCCAGGCGAGCGCGCTACCGCTTGAGCCACATCCCCAGCCCTCTTGCTCTCTCTTTCTTCTGTCTCTCTCTCTCTCTCTCTCTCTCTCTCTCTCTTCGCCTCTGTTTCACTGCTGCAATAAAGATCTCTTGGTTGCTCCAAATGTTGTGGTCACTTCCTTTCAGTCTCTAAATTGCTAAGGCTGGTATTGCCTTAGCCTCCTGAGTCATTAGGATTAGAGGTGTGTGCCACTGGGCCAAGCTGCCAAGGATTTCTTGCATAGGCAGACACYACCAGGTAGTGGTAGGTATTCACTTAATTTTTTTTGAATGAATGGCTCAGCCAAAGGATTGGCTTTTTGCAGCAGACTCACATTMTGTTGCTAACAAAAGGAGACTTAAAACTCCAGCTACAAGAGCTGCAAAATATGGATTCTCTTAATCCTAGTCCACTAAAAACTGGTAGCTTCATAAAAGGTTTAGCATACACTTACCATATGACCCAGCAATTCCACTCCTAGGTTTCTACCTGAAAGAAACAAAAGCATATGATGACATAGAAACTAGTACAGGAATAGTCATAGCAGCATTACTGCTAATAGCCCCAAACTGGAAACAATCCAAATATCCATCAAATGGTGACTGGATAAAATATATATATATATGGTTTATCTATGCAATTGAATACTATTCAGCAATAAATAGAAGTGAACTACTGATACATGCTAAATTTGTATGGACCTCAAAAACATTGCACTAAGTAGAAAAAGCTAGATGTAAAAGACCACAGAGTATATGATCCTTTTATATTTAATGTCCAGAAAAGATACATTTATTGAGATAGAAAGCAGATTAGTGATCACCTGGGGCTGGAGTAGAAGAAACCATTAACTGCAGTTTCAAGGCAACCTTTTAGTGATAGAAATGTTCTAAAACTGGGCTGGGGATGTGGTTCAAGCGGTAGCGCACTCGCCTGGCAAATGCGTGCGGCCCGGGTTCSATCCTCAGCACCACATACAAAAACAAAAGATGTTGTGTCCGCCGAGAACTGAAAAATAAATAAATAAATAAAATTCTCTCTCTCTCTCTCTCTCTCACTAAAAAAAAAAAAGTTCTAAAACTGCATTGCAGTGATGATTGCACACTTCTATACATTTTCTAAAATTAACTGTCTTACATAAAGTAGGTGAATTTTGTTTGTTTGTTTGGTACTGGGGATCAGACCCATGCCCTCACATACATTACAAAAGTACTCTAGCACTGAGCTACATCCCCAGTCCTTTCTTTTATTTTGAGACAGGGTCTGCTAAATTGCTCAGGGCTGGCCTCAAACTTGTAATCCTCCTGTCTCAACCTCCTGAGTAGCTGGAGGTATGTACCACTATCACAGGAAAGCAGGAAGCTGAAACTCCAAATCTTACTCRGTTCTTGTGTTTTGACAAAAGAAAATTTAAAGTGAGACACCAAAAGCCATTCAAGAGACGTTTAATATAAGCCACGATAGAGTGTGGTGGGGCACTCCTGTAAATCACCTCAGCTTGGGAGGCTGAGACAGGAGGATAGCGAGTTCAAAGCCATCCTCAGCAAAAAAGCAAGGTGCTAAGCAACTCAGCGAGACCCCGTCTCTAAATAAAATACAAAATAGGGATGGGGATATGGCTCAATGGTTGAGTGCCCCTGAGTTCAATCCCCAGTATCTCCCCCCTCCAAAAAAAAAATTAATTAATTAAAAGTGCTGGGGATGCAGTTCAGTGGTAGAGTGCCCTGGGTTTGACCCCAAGTAATGCCAAGGCAGAGGGAAAAAGAGTTAAGATGATAAATTGTATTTTATGTATATTTTGCCACAAAGTTGTAAAGAATCATAGAGATATATTTTGTTCTCCCCAAACTATAAAAAAGGTCTATTTCAAAGGTCTTGTAAATTAAGACCTTTGTTGACTGGGGTTGTAGCTCAGTGGTAGAATGCTTGCCTCACGTGCGTGAGGGCTTAGGTTAGATCCTCAGCACCACATAAAAATAAATAAATAAATAAATAAAAATAATTGTCTTACTCTGCCTCATCACTCCATTCACTGCCTGCAAATGACCATGAGCTCCATAACCCTAGGGACTAAGTGGTCCTTATTTGTAGCTATATCCACAAGGCCTGCCACATTGCAACATTCATTTAATGAAGGGACTTGGGGCCTGGTTCCAAACTCTGTTGCAACCACACTTCTATAATATAATAGGTTGTTCTTTTTTTTATTTTATTTTTTTGTATCAGGGATTGAACCCAAAGGTGCTTAACCCCTGAGCCACATCCCCAGCCCTTTTTATTTTTATTTCGAGACAAGGTCTCACTAAGCTGCTTAGAGCCATGCTAAAAACCGAGGCTGGCTTTGAACCTGCAATCCTCCTGCCTCAGCCTCCCAAGCCGCTGGGATTACAGGGATATGCCACCACATCAAGTGATGGGTTGTTCTGATTAGTTATGAGACCAGCTAAGTCACCAGTCCAAGTAAAAGGGCCTGGGATTTGTGTCAGTAGTGACTTGTCTAACTATCCCCAAGAATCTTCTCCTTCASACAGGACTTATAAAGTATTTTTCTATCGTTCAACACAAACACACTCTCAAAATGTTTGGTTGAGAAAAGAATTACACTATAGCCTGCACTGTGCAAWAAGAGCTGGTAGATAGATGAGGAGGCACATAGAACCTTCCTGACTTGATCCAAACTCAGTGATGGAAGTGTCTGTGCTGATGTCCAAGAGGGGAGTCAGACCAGGGACCTAGAACTAGTTCTGTGTGACCTTGAGCCGATACCTTCTCTCCAATGGGTCTCAGTTTCCCACTTAACAAGTGAAGAAATGTCAATACTTTGCAGGTGGGGTACAATCAGTCCATTTCTCATTCTGGAGGAAACGGAAACCAGCTGTGAGGGAAGCAGTCAAACAAGACAGACTGTCATGAGAATATTCATGTCCTTTTATATAATCAGCCCATCCCTTAATATTGATTTTGATGCGACGATCTACAAGAAAGAAAAGCAAGAGGA